TTTCAATACGAATTTATCCATCCACTATGAGTGCCTTTTGTATTGCGGACAGATGTAAGTAATCATCGTTGCTCATTTTAAATTTCACACAAACATCGAGCTTGGGGAAGAGATGTTGTCGGATTTAATCGCTGTAATGTGCAGTTTAATTATTGTAAGAAGCATTAAAAAATGATCAGTTTTATAGCATGTGATTCGAAATATCTGCAGTTCGAGGCGTCCTCAATTACCATAAAAATGGGCAAGGATCTTACTCGTTAAGATTACTCGATTAAGAATTGCATAGGAACCTATATCCGGAAATGTCAGGGGTAAGTGGTAGCAGATCGGAAAGGAAACAAGACAGTGATTAATTTTAAACATTTATTTGGACATGAATACAAATAGTGTTTCGACAGCTTGAATGTTACAACAGATGCTCGAAGTTTGCACTATCAGACGCCAAATATGCTTGACACCGACGGACCATTGATTGCCGAACATGTTCAAACACACCGGGAGTTTCTTTGATTATAGCAGCTGCGCAGGCGAGTCTTGCCACAAGATCCGTTTCAGACACAACAGGATCGTGATAGTCGGCACTTTTGATGGTACCTCACAAAAAGAAATCAGGGCTCGATAAATCCGGTGAGCGTGGGGGCCACCACGTCCAATCCATTGATGCGGGAAAATGATATGTTCAGATGGCTACGAACATCCAGTCCAAAGTCAGCACGCGACCTGCGCCTCACATTTGGTGGAACATCGCCAAGCAAGCCAGGGAGAACTTGCTTCGGAAAGATCAAATAACTCGCGGCATTCAACCTGAATGGTAAAAGGTACAGTCCGACTAAGGACCATGAGGATTTTCTTGATCCCACAAATGGGGATTGAACACGCTATCGCTAGTAAATGGAGCCTCATCTGTGAACAGCACATAAACTGGGAAATTAACCCTCTGGCTGATCCTTCTGCGATTTCCACGGGCAACTCAAATGTAGCAAAATTTGCTCATCCTGCGATTTCCGCGGACATACGTTTTTCTTTCTTTATTGACGAGCGCATCCCTTTTTTTCCCTGTTTAATCATTGAAATAAATTATATACAGTATTAGGAGTTTAGTTTACGTTTTGGCCAACAGATATTGGTTGGTTGGTAACGGAGGATGGGGACGCCTGATGTCTAACAGAGGTAAACAGCCAAGTGTCCCGCGCCCTCCACTAACCAGGAACAACTCTCTGAGGCCTCAAGAGGCCGCCTCGGGAGCTTTTTAGGATGTTAACAAGAGCATTTACATGGCCATACAAGGGCAGATTGCATTCGTTTTACCGTTTTGACATTTGTTGTTGCAATTTGCTATGGTAATTTTGCATATTCATAATTAAAATTCAAATAAAAATACAAATTAAATATACAGATACAAAAATACAGTTACAAAATAATAGGATTAAAATACAGGCTCACAGGTTAAAAAAATAAGTATTATGCATATACAGAAGAGGAAATGTTAAATACATGTTGGAAACATTTGACTGTACATTATTTGATAAGTGTCTGTAATAGGGACTTATGTAAGTTTTAGGAGTAGACTTATGTGTCTGAGAATGTGGAACTGCATACTGACTTACTTAGTGTATCATGCCTTGAGAGTTTTGGTTAATGACGAGAGCACAAATCTTGGCCCATTCTCTTGAGCTTGTTAACAACTTTGCAGATTGTATTTACTGCCGGTTTGTGCTTTATAAGGAAGCGGTGATAAGCTTCTCTATTGCTGATGGGAAGAGGGAGGTGATTTTCTGCTGTCAGATGGCATTCAAAAACATAGTGGTCTGGGGAGCCTTCCGCTCCGCAGGCGCATATGTCCGTGGTTGTTATGCCATGTCTATTGAAGTAGGTCGGGAATGGGCAGTGTCCCATAATATAAGCCGTAAGAGGAGCTATTGCAATGTTGCGTTCAGTTCCTACTTTCGGAAGGCAGCTGTATGTACATCTTCCAGTTGTACAGTGCATCCAGTCTTCCCGCCAAAGGTTTATGCCTTGACCCCGTAATAGCCCTTTGAGGTAGGAAGAAAGGGCTGGGATTGTGATTTTTTTTTCAGCTTCTGGATCAGTGGTTGCTTGCTTGGCCAAGCTATCAGCTGCTTCATTCCCCTCATTTTCTGCATGTGCCTTGATCCATGTTAAGGAGAGATGTTCCTGCGGGTTTCACTGTAAAAGTTGTTGTAATTTGATGATCAAGGGCGATGTGTGGTTATGATTATCTAGTGCTAGAAGTGTTGACATACTGTGTGTGAAAATTTTCGCCCGTTCTATATTATTATTGAAAGTGTAATCTACCGCCGTTATAATTGCTTGCCAACAGATATTGTTAGTTGTCCACTCCCCCCCCCCGGGTGTCGACGTAGAGAACTCTGCGAAGCTACTGGCTAGGATATTTACCTAGGCAGTCTCGGCCACGGGGGTATAAAATTTATGAACTTCGTGGTTCTGAAGGCTCCGGAAAAGGTCACTTATTGGCCGGCCTCGGGGTCTGGCACGTCCTAGCGCGGCGTGGAACTAGTAGCCCTGGGGTTTACCCCCAGATACGCTGGGTAATGACCCGCTGCGACGGGCAGCCCGAGCGACTGGTGGGTAGCAAATAACGACCAGTGCCGTGCCGGGTGACTACCTGGGCAGTTCGCCTCCCTCTCTGAGGGGCCAAAGCGGAGGTTGAACCTCCGCGCCTGTTTCTAAGGAGTGGGGGGACCTGTAGTGAGATAAATGATTCACGGAACAGGGAATGCCTATATTGTTGTTGTTAGTTGTCCACTAAATTGCGGCATTTCAAGGTACGTGGTATTAGCGCTTAAACTTCACTTTTTGCCGCTTTTTTCATACAGAAATGGCTGCTAGAAAACGTTCAGCGATTATGTTGATTATTTAATTAAATTATTTAATTATTGAATTAATTAGATTTATTGATTTTATTAATAATTAGATTGATTATTAATTAGATTTGTTGAATCTGGTGCAAAGACTGTGAAGTTTAGACTTTGTCTTGAAACCTGTTTTGAACTCTATCATACTAAACTGCATTTCTACGGTATTTTTCCTCAGTGCTTTATATTTTCTTAAATTTTATACATTTTGCTTTTTTTTTTTATATTATGCAATAAATATAAATTAACTGTAATTCGACTGAAATTTATTTAGAAAAATTTTTTTGGGGGGTGATAACATCTGAAATTGTTTTTTCTGGCAACTTAGTTTCTCATGATAAAAATATATATAACAAATATTTTCTAGAAAGAAAAAGGTACATTTCCAATTCTCCAATATATATATATATAGATTTAAAATATGCAAAAAAAAAAAAAAAAATTACACAATTTTGGAAGCGATTTCGGTCCACAAATTGAGCAGTTAGAGGATTAACATCACGGGCACTTTCTTGCAGAAACCACTGTGCGAAACGCACACGTTCAGAAGAGTCATTGGAGAGCAGTAATTGAACCCTTTGGAGACGAAAGGCGTGGAAGGACTCGGCGTTCAAGACACGCTGTACACTGGTATGAGACATTCTTAACTGAGAGGCAATGACGCTTATGCTGGTCCTTGGATTACTCTCCACCGTATCCAACACATTTTCTTCCCTAACGACCGAGCAAGTCGATCATGGCCTACCTCGTTTGTCCTGCCATTTCTTAATGACCCGTAGTCACACAAATTTTGATGCAGACATACGAACAAACTGGTGTGGTTGATGTCTGTCACGGAAGTTTTCTCGATAAATGAGTGCAACGGCTCGTCCATTACCCTCAGCTATTCCATACACTAAGTGCATGTCTGCAAGCTCTCCGTTCGTATATCGTTCCATGCTCTTTGTATGATGCCTACCGCACGAATGAGGCAATTCTCAGTTTTTACTAGCACTTTCCTGTAGAACACACCCTAGCGGCGCAGTGACGTTTCTGGGCATAGGTTCCTGTGCAATTCTTAATCCTTATGATGTGCCCTATCTTCCCTAGAAGTTTGTCGCTACATTTACGGTACACCCTGTATATATATGTATAAATGTTTTTGAATATATATTATATTATTATATGTATATACATTTGAACATTTATTTAAAAAGTACTAAACAAGGACTAAAAAAGACAAAAAATAAAATATAATAAAATTAAACATTTAAACAGTTTAAGACTGAAAATTTAATTTTACAAAATAATTTTTCTTTACCATTCAGATTATCATATCCTGGAAAGTTTAAGAAACACTTTAACTATAATCTTAGATTAAGAAGACAATTAGCAACTGTATTAAGTGTTTTGAACTAGGTATTCGTTAAAGATTTCTTTAAAATACGTAATAAAATTGAAGAAAATGTTTAAATACTTATCCGCAAATTAATTATTCATAGTTCCATACTTCAAACATACTCGTCAGGAGATTAAACATGAATAACTAATAATTTCTAAATATAAGTTTCGCCCTTCTTGACTATTTGAGTTCAAAAACAGAAAATTAAATAAATATAACCATAAAAGTATTTGTACAAAATTAATTACTTCTCGTTCACAAAGAATCAAGATCTGTTACAAAAATAAAAAATTATTTTACAAATTAAAAAAATTTTCACCATTAAGATTTCACTATCCTAGAAAGCTTAAGGAATATTTTAATTGTAACATTAGATTAAGAAAACAATTAGCAACTATATTAAGCATTTTGAACTAGGTATTAGTTAATGATTTCTGTAAGATAATCAATAAAATTTTGATAAAAATTTTAAAACACTTATGAAAGTCGAAAATTAATTATTCATTATATATATTCATTTATTTCTAATATAATATCAACTTAAAGTAGTACTTCGTTCTGATACAGTTCTGCAACAGATGATATGTACAACTAGTTTTCTATGACAGCTCACCTGGGAAAGAAAGCCGTAGTTTTACGAGGTAACTACATATAGTGTGCTATGATTAAGCAGAGTAAATCAATATTCTAAAGTTACGCTATTCATGTTTTATTTCATGCAGACAACTTCAAAATGAAGACCACTTGGTGGTTACCGAACATGAAATTATGGTTTATGATAATTGTGGCAATGGAAGTCGCTGAAGCATGCTGTCATCACTATTATCCTGTATACTACCCAGTTCATGTTGGTGGAGGAAGGTAAGTTTCGCAAATTAGATAATAAATCAGTCTATATATAAATACTTCGAAAGTACGTGAAAATGAGCTTTTATAAAAAATTCCATTAAAAAATAAATATTAAAATACTATTCATGTGCTTTTGCTTATATTTCTTGGTACTTTAGTCCCAAGAAAATTGTGATTCACACAAAATCGGAACATCACCACCATCATCATCATTCTCATGGTCATCATCATGGACATCATCATCAACACGGGCACCACCACGGTCATAATCACGATCATAAACATCATCATGGGCACCATCACGGACACCATCATCAACATGGCCACCACCATTCTCATAAGCATGGACATCATCATGGGCATCATCACCATCACGGTCATAAGCATGGCCATCACCATGGACATCATCATGGTCACCATCATCATCATGGTCATCATCATGACCACGGCCATCATCACGGGCATCACCATGGACATCACCACGGTCATCATCATGCTCATCACCACGGACATCATCATGGCCATCACCATGGCCACCATCACGGACACGACCACCATCATCACCACGGCCATCATCACGGACATCATCATGGGCATCATCATGGACACCACCATGATCATCACCATGGACACCATCATGGTCATCATCATGGACATCACCACGGTCATCACCATGGCCATCACCATGGCCATCACCACGGACATCACCATGGTCATCATCATGGACATCACCATGGTCATCATCATGGTCACCATCATGGCCATCATCATGGTCATCACCATGGCCATCATCATGGTCACCACCATGGCCATCATCACGGCCATCATCACGGTCATCATCATGGCCATCATCATGGACACCACCACGGACATCACCATGGTCACCACCATGGGCATCACCATGGTCACCACCACGGGCATCATCACGGGCACCACCATGGACACCACCATGGACACCACCATGGGCACCATCATGGGCACCACCATGGACACCACCATGGACACGACCATGGGCATCACCATGGTCATCATCATGAAGGACACGCAAGCGAAATCCATAATGTTGTGCACTTTCACAATCTTTTTGGTCTGCAGTATTAAACAGAAAATTAAAATGTGTAACCTTAGAAGGAAGTAATATTAAGTGCGTTAAAAATGCAATTTTTTTATATACAAGTTTATTTTTATTCCTTCGCATTTGCCCATTTGATAGTTTAGGGTGATATTATTGATTATTTGTAGCTATTTTAACACAATATTTAGATCAACAAATGTGTTTACAGGGAATTTGATAAAGCGAAGTCCCCTTTTTCCGAAATATTTTATAAAATTTAGAGAGTATATTTTTTTCGGCAAAGCAATAGCTGCAACAACACCAAAGACTAATAGTAACGATGATGATGATGATGATGATGATAAGAATAATGAAGGATATGAAATTGTGATAACACTATGAAAGCATAAAGTTTATTACAAGGACATTTGGATCACTTGCTTTATAGACTATGATTTAATTTATTATATTATTTAGAAAGACTGTTAGATATTGACTATGGATACGATCTTTTAAACAAAATGATATTGTTCACTTTTCAATATTTGAAAGGTATGCTTATTTTACGAAGTACTTGTACTGAAAATAAAATATTTTATTACACAAAAACTCAAAATGTTTAGTAACTGAACATTTTTTCTAATAAAAGAAAGTAATTTTGGAAAGAGAACTGATATAGAACTCGTGAAATAAGACATAAGAGATAATTATGACAATGATACTTTAAAAAAAACATCTTGATTTGTTTGAATTTCTCTATTTCATTCATTAATTATAAAGATTTTATATCTAAATTTAGATAATTTTTTGGTTAATTTCTATGATCAACTTGAAACTTCTTGGTAGATAAATGCAAATCAAATTGAGTAAATTTAGTTATAAATTTCGAACATATGACAAAATCTGAAAATCTTCAGTAACATATGTAATTATGCAACATGTTACATACTTACATTTGAGTATTTTTTTTTTTTTTTTTTCAGTAACATGCGTTAGTAAGTTAATTTATGCAATATTTTCGCTTTTGAATTCCTACCAGCTATAAACAAACGGGAGCACTGAAAGTTCGGTTCGGGGTTCCAATCTCGGCGAATGGTCTAGCTGAATGGGCGTTTTCGGGTTTTCTCCATTTGTAACGTGTATGCAAGCTAGTATCCCTTGCCATGTCCGAAGGTTTCCCTATTCTTGGGGTTCCTCGAGTGCTTTGCTGTAATTAAATTTACTTAAATCAAATTCTTAGAGATAATATGAGTAACATTTGAGAATCGGCATTTGCATTCTTAATATTTTAGGTTTCTGGGCAAACAAATATAGAATATTCCTTTAAATAAGAATGTATGATGCGGCTGATAGGCATTTCTTTATAATAGGATAATAGTATTTTATATAACTACTAGTCATTTCACAATATTATAAAAAATTCACATCCACATTGTATGACTAATTTATGCTACAGAAGATGAGAATCAATCACTTTGGAATTGCAGTTGATAACACTTTCAAATTTCGAAAATAATTGAAAGCGACAGGTACAAAAATTTAATACCATTCACTCAAAAACGTTTTCAATTTTAGAGCGACGTAGTAAAAGTTTAAAGAATTACCATAATCGCTCAGCAATCACGCATTATCATTAATGCGTGATTTCGTTGTGCAAGTGTGGTCAACATGAGCAATATGAATAGATAGAATTATTGGATAGCTGTTGGAAGAGCCGCGGTTCTAATTCCCGCCAGGATAAAGCTGATTCTTCATGTTCTCTTGCTTCTAGAAACCTACTGCTTCCCGTAGTGGCACCTGAATTTAAATTTGCGGACGATAACTTCTCTTTTTTTTTTTTTTTTTTTTTTTTTTTTGGATTTGTTCAGCTGCATGTCGTGCCCCACCCCATCCACCCTTTAAATGCGGGAGGATCTAAAGAATTATCGCATTTTCTTTATGCGTGCTGTTGTGGTGTAAGTAGTTCACGTATATAGCTAGCAACCTGCAGATCCGTGATTTGAATCCCGGCGTGGGCACAGCAGATTTTTCATGCTTCATACTTCGGAAAATCTAAGGATCTAAACTAATCTTCACTCGAAAACAAATTATATTTTATAAAACACTTCTATGAACAGATCTTCTCTAGCCTTGTTCGGATTTGGGGAAATGCAGCTGAAATAAATCTGAGAAAACACTGAAATAGCATACAGTACAATATTACGAAAAGTACTTAATACATATGATTAATTACAATTGGTCCATTACGTAAGCTATATAAAAGTTGAAGCAGTCAAATGCTACAATCAAACATTAACTATTTCATTTTACATCTCAGCAGCTAAAAACCCTAATCTAACACACAGAGGACTTATACCCGCATCAGTAACGCCATTTTCCTACAAACTGTTTCCTAAACTAACACTAAAGAAACCACAACATTTCAATACTCAATGCTTGCTTACGGCTTCTGCATTACTCATTTTGTATTTCTGACCAGGTTACCTGGATGCTAATTAAATTCATTATGAGTCTCGAAGCGCGTTGAAAGAGGGGAAATATGAGAAAGAGAGAGCACCTTTTTCATTCGATCTAACCCACCGACAAAATTTATGGCTGAGGTTAGGATGCATAGTACCTTCAGATATTGTAATTCGTATCATATGATTTTTGACGCAAACTTGGAGTTTTCTGAAGATACATAAAATTTTTTCCCATACTGGTTTTGCACGCTTAATAATGCCTAAACATCAAATTTTATAAATCACTGGGAAACGTCTGAAATAGAGTAGAAGCGTCGGAATTTTGAAGTTTCTTCTTGAATACTGCTGTGCGAGTGAAGTTAGAATTTTTCCATCTATTGCAGAGGGTGTAACAGGCATTTAGTGAAAGTAACCAAATTGTCGAGCTTGCGCTTGATGCAGGTAGGCTTTGAGTCTTTTAAGAGGTAACAGGTGCAGAATAAATGATCTTGAAGGCAGTAAAGATAGTTAAGAATGTTGTGGCATCCAGTTTGCACATGTCCATTGCATTGACATCTCTAACAGATTTTTGGATTTTCCCCTGGTCTGTGCTTTCTGGCTCTGTCTGGGAGTGACAAAAGGGATCTTTAACGGCAAATATGGTTGCTGTTTTCGCAGCGTTTCATTTCCACAAAAGGTTGCATTTTCCATTGGTGGTCTTCTGGAAATTTGCTTCAGTTTAACAATCGGGTAAACCTTGTCGTTAAGCTCATTTTGTGAAGAATTCGGCGCTTCATCCGCTGATAGTTTATAGATAATGAACTTAACGGTAGTTTGTTCTTTGTACATATGTAAAGTACAAAAGTGAGTCTTAGTTTTGAGTACAGGACCTACAGCCTTTCCTCTGGTGTCTCAATCATCGAACTGGAGGTTAATTTCAGGATTCCGATGAAGTTTCTGGTGTTATTATCGTCGAGAATGGGATTAATTTCTCTCCATGTGACTTGAGGTTGCGGGCAGAGGATGGGCGGTAAGTTCCGTTTCTTTTCTGCAGGAATTGGGGCGGCATGCAGTTCCGCAGCAGAATCAGATAAGTCCATCTCATCCAAGCAACTGAAGCAGTTTGCAATAGGAGTGCTACTAGATGCGGTTTCGCTCTCATCCAGAACTGGAGTCAGAATTCTCGTCTGAAGTCGATTCGGAAGAGGCAGAGTAAACTGGTCCATCTTCGCCGTTTGTATCTGGAACTATAATCGGTTGATCCAGTAAAACAGGTTCCTCTATGGAGGAATTCGTAATTCGTTAGCAGGAACTGGGATTTCTCGTAGACATACATGATCATCAACTTATTCCCCTTCGAACACCCTTAAAATAGTCATCATATCGGGAGTGATATACAGTATCTGACGCTTATTAAAATCCCTTTCGTTCCAAACATATTTGAGTTTATACAGCGCTGAGTTTAAGCGGCGAATGTATATTGCAAATCGTGTTATAAGTTTAAACCTTTTCGAGCTAAGTAACACCCAGAAACTAATTTAGTATATAATCCTAAAATAATAATTAAAAATTAATGCTAAAATTAAATATTCTATGCAATTTTGAAATTCATTTTAAAATTTTATACAAACTATATTTATAATTATACTCTTCATGTAGTTTCAGCTCATACAAGCAACTATTCAATCTATCTTTGCAATTTTCAGATTCATAAAACTGCTGGTAGCTTTTGTGATATTTTCAGTTTAAGAGTTCTTCTTGAAATCTGCAGTGCTTTTCTAAATTCGATTGATGTTGATATGTCATTAGTTGTTTGTGTATCACTTTTGATGTCAGGTTCTTCAGTTGTTTAACGCTTTCATAATCAGTTGTCACAGTAATGTTCTGAATTGACACTTAGTATAAAACTAAATCTTCATAACTTACCTCATCTGATGTCTGAAACATTAGATATAGTTGACAGTTCCTCTGAGGCATCTTCTACATAAAAGCCTCATTTTTGGAAACAATTTTTAACTAACTTTAAGAGAGTATCCCACTGCACTGACTATAGCGTACATGATCTCTAGCACAGATATCAAGTTACTTACCTCCTTCGGTGCGCTTGCGTTTCCACAAAATTTATTTCTGTTCATCATTATCTGAACGTATTTTCTATAATGGTATTTGAAAGCTTATGCAGGAAGGCACAATTATGTTGGAAGTACTACGAAAATGGACAGTTTGAATGAGCTACGAAGAGTTTTTATAGTATTAAGTAGGCTATTCTGACAATGAAGAATTAATATTTTCTCAACCTGAGCGACGGAGATGAGTTTCATAAAAGACAGTTTTTCTATTATGTTTGTTTTGGTTCCTGGAAATTTGAACGTAGTGAATGGCTGAGTTTATTAATCAGTGACTTTAATAAGTGACGGGTACTCTATTCAGCAGTTTAGCTATCTAGGCTTGGATCTGAGTCACCCACATCTGATTCCCCAGAAAAGGCTGAAGTACATGGCTTATACTCCAGCGTAAACGAATTTACAATAGCCTGACAAAATATGCAGACGTCCCGCAGCAACGCCTACTCATAATCCATGATGTCATCTATGGGTCCTCCCCCCCCCGTTTATTGAGATACTGTGATACTGTAGTGTTATTCTGGGGCTCTGCTGGCTAAGCCGCACTTTACGAAGCAGTTACTGAGCCTGAGAATGAATGATGCATGAAATGGGTCCCTCAGAAGACATCTTATATGATGGAAACGACGAGAAGATGCACTTTATCCCTGTGGCAGCTAGAGTTGTCACGCATTAGGTGACATCTATAGCGTTAGGAAAAAAAATCCAGGAGGCGACGGGGAAGATTGGTGAAGGGTGTTCCCCAACTGTGAGAGTAGAGCTATCTTGCAGGTGGAAGTGTCTAATTCAGGTAACACACGAGATAGGAAAATATACAGTATTTAAGAATTTACATCATGAATCGTAGCACGTAATTCGGCTGTGTGGGGGTGAAGGATGAAACCGCATGTCAGGAGACAAATTCTTCTTGCCATAGAGGACGTGCAAGCGTACAGACGAATGAAAAATCGTCCGCTAAGATTTCGTAATTTAGTTGTGCAGCGAAATTTGCAGTACTTTGCTGCTGATTTGTTGTTGAATCTCATAATAAGCTTTA